TCCGGACTCCGAATCATACAATTCTTGAGTCCATCTCGATTAGTTTTTTGTTGTCTTCCCAATGGTGTGCTCGATAGCACTTGAATCCATTTTTTTACAAAATGGCCATTTTGCCCCTAGGTTCCTTTTTGTCCGTTTTTGAAACGACACTTTCGCATTTGTTTTCCTTTGAGTTCTGCGACCTCATTGAAGGTCACATTGGTATCTTAGAGACGCATTGTATCTCTAGAGACCGTTGTTTCACCTTTCGCTTTCACATTTCGGATCCGTTATCGGGTCATCTTTTGATCATCACTTACGCACTGGGTTTACAAAAACTTGGGCCGTCACACTGCTACTTATTATTTATTGTGATTCTATTAGGGCATATGAAAAATTGATCTTTTGAGTGAAATAATTGCTCTTGTAAAATTATGAAGATGACAACTAATTGTCGATAAAAGATGAACCGAATTGTGCGATTTCTCGCATTGATAGAACATGCAAAAACTTTACAACTTGTTCCTCTACATAGCTATACGTGTTGTCTTTGAGACGACCGCTTCCTAGCTTAAAATATCCCAACAAGCATAGCAAATACCTTTTGTGTTATTGGATCCCCCATTAAAATCACTAATGGCCACGTTCGATTGGAACCACGTCATCCATGCTTTTACCCAATTTCTTCAAAGTAATAATATTAGACGTGGATTTCCTCTTTCTACTACAAATCACATTCCTTCACAAAGGATCCTCCATAATCTTGTCAATCTATAAATTGCAAATGAAGCTCTATTTAAGTATGCAATCACATAAATCAAGTTTACTAATCTGAAAGAAGTTAATTTTATGTGTGTGATTGTTAGAGTAAAGTGCAAAAAAAACCCCTTGAACTATATTTTATGCATAAAATCTCCTAAACTATCTCATTTGTTGCAACATACCCCAAAGACTATACTATACTTCATTAAATGACCATAATGCCCCTTCTTATTGAATTATGAAAAAAAATAATTTTCTTAAATTTGATGAGATATTTTATATTAAATTTGCATAAATTTACCTTTAATTTTCTTAATTATTTATTTAAATTAAAAATTTTAGTAAATTTTTAATGAATATATTACATGAATAGAATGTATTTTTTTTCCCGATAAAAATGTTTAAATTGGTTATAATATGTTTTATTATAAATAATAAAGCTTGAATAATAAGTTGATCAATTTAGAAAATGGTAGTTACAAATCTTTTTCCATTTTTATGATAAATTGATACTAAAAATAAAATTAAGGTAAATAGTATAATTAATATTTACATAAGAGAAAAGATAATAAAAATAATTTAATAAGAAATGAAAATTTTAATGAGAAAGGGTAAAATAGTCTTTTTTGATGAATTTGTCTTTAATTACAACAAATTAATAGTTTAGGGAGTGATTTTTAGTTCAGGGAATTATTTGCTAAAGGACAATAGTTTAGGGAGTTTTTTGCATTTATCCTAATTGTTATTATCTTTTTTAAAAAAAAATTGGTACTCAGACACCAAAATTCGAACCTGACTTCCTTTGAAAAGTAAGAATACCGCATTGTTATTATCTCTTTGCAAAACATAAAGAAGATACTCTAGTAGGTATGGCTGCCGAGTAGGGGTATGTTCAAGCTCGGCTCGGCCATCTAACCATAGTGTTTGAGCTCGGCTTGAACTCGACTCAAGCTTCTAAATGGGTGTCCGAACTCGACTCGATGATGTTTGAAAATGTTTCAGCTCAGTTCGATAACTCGATTAGACCAAAGCGTAGAACAACAGTTGCATGTGTGTGTGTGTGTGTGTGTGTGTGTGTGTGTGTGTGTGTGTGTGTGAGCAATAATACATATACCCGGTACCAGAAATAGCGACAAATCTCCAGTCACAGGTTTCAACATTCACTTCGATTCTTCCATCCAGTATGAGAAATACAAAAGAGGTGCGAGATTAGGGAGATATACGACCTAGAGAGAATAGAGAGAGAAAAAGCAAAAAACATCTTGGATTTTCAGCCATGTTGCAAAGTTACAGCTGGTTTCTTCAATGCCGGTGGTGTTGTTCCAGATTTGCCCGTGGTTTCTTAAAGCGATGCGGCACTTAGGCTTCATTTGGATACACGTGATAGAAAAGAAAGAAAAGGATTATGAGATAAAAGAATATAAAAGAAAAGAAATGATAGCTATAATTTATATTCATGTTTAAATAGATAGGAGAGAAAAGAAAGGAATTGGTAATATTGTTGTTTGGATAACACAAATGAGATAAAAGAAAGGAATTGATAATAATGAAATTACCATCTTACCCTTTTTGGTAGGGTTAGAGGGCAAAATCATTTCAGCCTCCTCCATCTCTCTATTCTAGTTCTCACAGATCCCCTCCCCCCCCCCCCCCCCCCCCAACTGCAAACTACAAAATCTACAAAAATCAGAAGGTCAAAACCCATATCGGCTCTCTCTCTCTTTCTCCAACTGCCAACTACAAAATCTACCAAAATTAGAAGATCAAAACCCATATCGACTCTCTCTCTCTTTTCAACTGCAAACTACAAAACCTACCAAAATCAGAAGATCAAAACCCATATCGGCTTTCTCTCTCTCTCTCCAACTGCAAACTACAAAATCTACCAAAATTAGAAGATCAAAACCTATATCGGCTCTCTTTCTCTCTCTCCAACTGCAAACTACAAAATCTACCAAAATCAGAAGATCACCCATATCAGCTCTCTCTCTCTCTCTCTCTCTAACTGCAAACTACAAAATCTACAAAAATCAAAAGGTCAAAACCCAATTAGGTTTATCATTTCAGATTGTTCCAAAAATCAAAACCCATATCTTTCAAGCTTGCCCCCCTCTCTCTCTGCAACTGCTAACTTGTATGTATGGGTTTTGTTTAAAAAAAATTTCTAAAATCAACTAATCAAAGTCTGTAATTCTTGTTTTGCAACTCTCTCTCTCTCTGCAACTGCAACTACATATATATATTTCAGCCTCCCCAATAGCCTCCATCTCATTCTCAGCCTCCCACTCTCTCTCGCTGCAACTGTAAACTATATATATAGACGATATATACAACACTTGCCCCTTCTGTAATTTGCTCCAAATCCCTCTCAATCCTTTCTTTTTTCTCTTATTCTTCCCATCCAAACACCTTAATCACTATCCTTCCCTTTCTTTTCTCTCCAAATCCCTCTAAATCCCTCAATCCAAACGATGCCTTAGGGTTGGGGAAGATATGGGGATGAGGGAGTTGTATAAGATTTATATCAATGGGCTTGAGTCGGCTGGAGTTTTCTTTTCAAGTGGGTTGATATTATAAACACAATTGGGTTGGGTTGAATCGAAATGGGTTTTTACTTTTTAGTTAAAAGGAAAAAAGAAAAGACCTAAACTATCATATATATACACATATATGTTTATATATTCACGAGCCCAATAAGGAGCAAGTTCCCGAACGTGTTCGTGAAGTATCAAGCCGAGCTGAAGAGTGTTCGGGATTGGCTCGTTTATTAATCAAGCATTCAAATTTTGTTCGAGCTCGAGCCGAACTTTTAGCAAACCAAGTCCGAGGGGTTCGAGAACAGCTCGGTTCGTTTGCAGCTGTAGATGCGAGGGATTGATAAGGGAAGGTAGGGATTCCTTTTGGGACCATTCATCGTTTTCCCACATTTATTCATCAAAAAGTAAAGGAGTCAAAACCAAAACATAAGCTGCCCATTCCATCTATCATATGGCAAATCGCCAACTGTGACTGCTGGTGGAGTGATTGGTGATCGGCGATGAGGTGGTTCTTTAATGGTCAATGGTGAAAAGGGCAATTTTGGGATTTTTAAAGAAAAAGTTGGTCAAAATGGATTATTAGAGGCTAATTTGCACCAAAGCACACAATAGGGAGTTTTGTGCACCAAACAAAACAATAGGGTTTTTTTGTACCTTTTGAATCTAAGAGGGGTATCCAAATAAATGATTATTATTTTTTAAATATCAAAACTACCCTTTCATATATAGAACTATCATTTCCTATATATTTTCCTAAATTAGAGAGTGCGAGCCACTATATGCAATTCAAAAATATAATGGTTGAATGCAAATGAAGAAAGTTATACAAATTAGCTCCAACCATGATATTCACACTAATACTCTGTTTAGTAGAAAGAAAGAAAATTGGAAGAGAGGGATAGAAGAAGAGATAAATGATACATTTTTAGGAAAGAGATTATATTATTTCTTCTTTTTATTTGGTTGGATAAAAGAAAGGAGAATAAGATAAATACCTTATTTTATTTGTTATGAGAGAAGACAAGAGAAAGTGTTAATTATAAAGAAAGTTTTTAATTTAAAAACGTTTAGAATAGTCTTTGCTTGTCTTTAGTTCATATTTGGAAGAACGAAAATTTGTGAAGAAGGATGACTTATTCATCATCTTTTCTCGATATCTCCTCTCTGCCAAACAAAGAAAGCTCTGCCAAACAAAGAAAGCTCGTCTCTTTCTTCCTATCTTCCCTCCACCCTCTTACTTCCTTCTTATCAAACGGAGCATAAATGTTCCTCCTACAATTATACAAGTTTGAATATGAAGAGCCCAAACTGTTAACGAATTGCTCATTTATAGCCCTAATCATGGCATCATGTTGGACTAAACTAATCTACGAATCTGTAAAAAAATTATAGTTAACAATCCAAACGGGAGTAATATATATCTCTGTTCCAGGTAAGAACCACTAGCATGTCAATTTAGGTGCAAAAATATAACATCTAATTCAACTAATACTCCCCTCATAACTTATATCGTATATACTCTAATGACAGATTACTATGATGATTAGCATAGGCAACAAGGAACCAGATCAAACAGACCACAATGCAAAAAAACATGGAATCACCCAAAATAAAGAAATAATGTAATAGTGCCAAAATTTGCCAAAAATCATACTAAGGTACAGTTTTTGACTTAAGAGTCCTAATTCAACTAGTAATAAGCTTTATTTACAACTTTGAACAGAGAAGAAACAAAGTAATATTCCAATTATAGATTCGTATGAGAAATTAGCATTAGCAACATGGAACCAGATCTAACAGATCACAATCCATAGCTTTTATTTACCCCTGCTCCAGCAGAACTTATGTAACATGCCCTAACAATTACCATATCAACACCAATTTCCTACAAATGCCCACAGGGCCATACCAGCTCATATCCAGAATTGAATTAACTATTGTATAACCATACCCAGTTGCTCAGCCATGCCATGTACAGAGTTTTAGGGGAAAAAATGCAGTCGAAATCCAAAAACAACTACGATGTCAACCCCTGTTGCTCAATCATGTACAGTGTTTTTGTAGAAAAAAGAATACAGTTTAAGACCTCTTGATGTCCAGCAGCCAATCAGACCAAGTACCCCTGCAAAATTGCAAACAGAAAAAGGGAAAAAGGAAATAAATTAGCGTTGTTTCACTAGTAGATATGAACCTGCAAACACTAATCCGTTTGTGATTGTATGTAATGTAACAGATATCATCAAGCAAGATTTTAAGACTTTTATACTCTTGTGGACGTCCTGATTGGAAGAAGTGATTTTGCTAAGCAAAATTTTTGGAGAGGAAATATTACTTGCATAAGCCACTGAGGACTAGTTGGACTTCTTATTAGAACATAGGTACACATAAACATTTGGAAGGGCTTGCATTAGTGAATAGGTATAATATGCTTTGTTGACCCTACATCTTTCTCCTAAGGGTAATCTAGCACTTTTGATGATAAAAAACCATTTATAGTGTTCAATGTACTAATATCTACATTGAGTTTCAATATATAGATCAAAAGGAACACATTAAGAGAGAAAGATCAAGTCCACACTACAATGATCACATCAAGGACATTGAAGTTGCAATGAACCTCATTCTGAATAATTTCATCAAAGCAACTCAGAATTGATGCAAGGAAGTCTCGGAAGCCATAATGATCATCAATGCGTACCAATGGGGTAGATAGGTTGGTGAGAGTCCTAGGAATTAAAGTGTAAAGAATCGGTGAAACCATTTGAAGCTCAAAATAGGATCATGCATCACTCACACACCTTGATTCTTCACTTTCATGCTATGTGAGATGCTATGCATTCATAATTTAACTGGCCTTAAGCATTCAATTACAAAATGAACTTGCATATTTCACCACTGAGCACACGCAATTAGTGGCATAATAAATTATTCTAGGTGGCTCCAAGAAAATTCAAAATCCTAACCTGTAGGAAGTGAGTTGAGAATCTTTCACATTAATCTTTTTTTTTTCTTTCTTTTTTTAATAAATATATATACACTATTGAGATTTAAATTAATCAATTACGCAGCAAGTACTGTAAGTCCTAATTCAACTAATACTCCTCTCATAACTTATATTGTATATACTCTAATGACAGATTCCTATGATGATTAGCATAGGCAACATGGAACCAAATCAAACAGATCACAATCCATAAAAACATGGAATCACCAAAAATAAAGAAATAATGTAATAGTGCCAAAAATGCCAAAATTCATACTTAGGTACAGTTTTTGACTTGAAAGTCCTAATTCAACTAGTACTCCATTTATAACTATACGAAGTTGTCTGCATACACTTTATTTACAGCTTTGAACAGAGAAGAAACTAAGTAATATTCTAATTATAGATTCGTATGGGAAATTAGCATTAGCAACATGGAACCAGATAACAATCCATAGCTTTTATTTAACCGTACTCCAGCAGAAATTATGTAACATGCCCTAACAATTACCATATCAACACCAATTTCCTACAAATGCCCACAGGGCCATACCAGCACATATCCAGAATTGAATTAACTCTTGTATCAACATACCCTGTTGCTCAGCCATGCCATGTACAGAGTTTTAGGGAAAAAAAATGCAGTCGAAATCCAAAAACAACTACGATGTCAACCCCTGTTGCTCAATCATGTACAGTGTTTTTGTAGAAAAAGGAAAATCAGTTTAAGACCTCTTGTTGCCCAGCAGCCAATCAGACCAAGTACCCCTGCAAAATTGCAAACAGAAAAAGGGAAAAAGGAAATAAATTAGCATTGTTCACAGTAGATGTGAACCTGCAAACACTTATCCGTTTGTGATTGTATGTAATGTGACAGATATCATCAAGCAAAATTTTAAGACTTTTATACTCTTGTGGACGTCCTGGTTGAAAGAAGTGATTTTGCTAAGCAAAATTTTTGAAGAGGAAATATTACTTGCATAAGCCACTGAGGACTAGTTGGACTTACTTATTAGAACATAGGTACACATAAACATTTGGAAGGGCTTGCATTAGTGAATCAGTTAAGCAAATAGCTGCAGGTAAAGTGATGATGCATAAAGTGCAAAATTTAAGTGACTACAAACCTTCAACATAAAGTATTCAAAACATTTTACATGGTCGTATTACTAAATTACAAAAAAATTGAAAGTACCACTACTACATCATGTTTAGTAGTGCAGAATCGTGTCTGGGCATTATTTTTTAACACTGGGCTTGCATTATTTAGTTGATTTGAGGTTAGTAGGTTTCTTTTAAATTAGCAGCTTCCACTGCTCAAATATCGCGCTTCAGTTACTTCATAGAGTAGCCATATAACGGTATGACATAATAACAACAATCATAAACACTACATTGCTACACCTTGAAGTGCTTGCACCGCACTAGTATATACATTGGGTAGCCTTAGTATTCCCGTTGCATTTTCATCAATTAACTATTGGTTTTGATGCACTTGATTTTTTTCTTTCTTTTTTATGCTTCTATTATATTTATTATATCATTTGCATTGTGTTAGTAAAAGGATTTTTATGATCTTATAACATATAGCTTCTATATTGTATCTATAACAATTTTATTACACTAAAATTGCTTATAGTATTAGAGTAAATGAAATGCTAGTACTATTATCAGGTATAATATGCTTGACATGCGGCCATACTGAATGACCACCTAGGCAGCTTGGCTAGCATATGGGCTTTTATTAGAACCATACCCTGTGCTTGCCTTGGATATTTGACTACCATGTTTCCCTAAGCTGCATTTTGGCCTTAAAATCCAATTACTCAAGTTTCCCGGTCGTGAGCATGTATTAAATGAATCAAGATTTGCATATCATTGCATGGGGCACTCAAGGAAAACGAAATGAAGAAATAATTTTGATGGAGCAGTGCATAACCCTTTTCTATTCATTATTTAATCTGGCCACACATGCTTGATGCAACATCTCATACTTTTTTTTTTTTTTTTACAAGGAAAACAGAGAGACACAACTAAGGAACAGGACTACACATCATATGCTGCGCATCTCAGGAAACTCAGGTGAATTCTTCTGGTTGTTACCCTCCTAATTTTTTTAGCAACGTTGACATAACTTGTACTTTGGTCATACATGTTGGTTTTTCTAGACGCCAAGTCAATCTCATGATGTGTTTTAAATCATAGTTTTTCATTTTTTTCAGTGGTTTATCTTGGTACCATCAAATCAGATAATATGTTTTACAAAAGACATTTAGCATCTACAGTATTTTGAATTTAATTTTTTTTCGCACATGTCATTTGTAAAGTTTGAGAAAGTTATTCTCTGATATTACATCATTAGCACTTAACAGGTTTGGCAATTTGTGGAAGATAGAATTGACATATCAAGTAGTCCTTTATCAAAACAGAATATACATACACTGAAATCAGAACCCTATCATCACCGCCGCATTCCAATACAATATTCAACCCTAAAAACTGCAAATGAAAAAAAAAGGAAATAAATTAGAATTGTTCAAAGTAGATGTAGATATGAACTTGAATACGCTTATCCATCAGTGATTGTATGTAATATGACAGATATCAGCAACTGTTGTGAGGAAATTATCAAATGACTCGAGCTAAATGTTAGACTTTTGTACTCTTGCGGACATCCTGGTTGGAAGGGGTGCTTTAGTTAATTTCCAATGAAAGCATTATCATAACTTTTACATCAATCATTTTCAGTAATAGTTGTGAAGAGGAAATATGTCTTGCAAAAGCCACTGAGGGCTAGTTGGACTTCTTTTTAGAACACAGACACATAAATATTTGGAAGAGCTTGCATTAGTGACCCAATCCCCCTCTTTCATTACAGAATTTACCAAATCTCCATTCTATCAGTTTGTATCCCTATCGATAAGATCAATTACTCTAAAATTATGAGAATCATTAGGAATTTGAGAAAACAATTTAGAATTTTTTGAGTCTGATGTTTATCGATCTTCCCAAACATTCACCAAATTACCATTAATGACCCTCCAATACACTCCCCTTCAATAACTCCTTTCAACTTCAAGTCTCCGCCAACCATTTTTACGCTCAAAATCAATCAGAAGGTCCAGTATCCTTCCTTAAATAATAGGAAGTATATGTTGTTCCATTATTCCAACTTTATATGCTGCCCCTTCATTAGCCCTTCAACATAAGCACTCGTAAGGGTAGGAAATAATAGGAATGGTGCTGATTTTCATTTTTCTTCTAGCTTTTTTCAGTTTCGAGAACCACCTTTTCCCTGCCTATTACTCATCTTAAAAAGCTGAAACGACCAGCACAGTCTCCAATTTAGGAGTTGGAGGTTAAGGCACTCTCCTTCGAAGGGGATAGGTGGAAGAGTAAATAATTCAAACATCTGATTATTCTTACAGAGTTGAGCTATTACAAATTATTCAATATTGGAATAATCTTCTTTTGTCAATCATAATGCCCTATTCAGTATGCTTGTATCAATACTTAGAAGTCATTTTAAATCAACTATTCACATGTACCAATGATATTGATCATGATGCGCTCCGCGAGACACGCGATATGCAAAAATTTTAGGCATTGGCGAAAGACTTCCAGGGGTAATTTTTAGGAATATTTTCATATTTTAGGGTTATAGTATCTGATAGGGATTTGAGTCGTTTGACTATCTAGTAGTTCTTTTATTATGTTCAAGAAATATACATGGCTTTGGTATAATAGTGATTTACAGCCTTATGATTGAATATTTGATTTACTAATGTCCTTTATCTCTCTCACACACACAAACATTCTTTTTCCCCTCATGTGTCACTAGGATTTCAACTAATTCTTAGATCATAATGGCAAAATTCACTTAAAAGGTGAAAAGGTTGAGATTCAAATTTTTAAAAAGCTCCATATAAAGGGATGTTATAGCTATAGCAACCACAACTATTCAGTTTAAAGTTGATTCCAACAAATGGCATGCCAGGAAATGCTGGAATGCTAAAATACCATAATCTCAAATTAGTTTATCATGAAAATAACATAGTCCACGCCAGCGAAATTTATAAGGAATTGCAAGCATGTATAATTGGAACTCATCTTTCTGCAGGCATGGCTAAATGATAGGTATTCCAATAACAAAACAAACCTCAAACTCAGTTAGAAAAAATCAGCCAAGGAATTGCAAGAATTGATCCATGTCACATCAAACATTAGTTTTCTTAAAAAATAAAATAACAAAATTTATCTTTTTACATAAGATCATTAATTCCTTCAGAAAAACTCAGCTAGTTATACATGAAGAAATCTCCAGGATAGTAAACACACAAAAAAAAAAAAAAAATAGCGCAGATTAAAAGAATTTTTAACTGCATACTATTAACTATCCAAATTCAGAAACTGTATAAGGATATCCACCAGGAATGCATGCAGCAAACAGCTAGGAAATAAGGGGGGTTAAAAAAGTTCAGTGTGGAAACCATTGGAGTTCGTGTTATGTACCTGAAATGTACCTGATTCCACAACGCAGCAGGCAACATAGCAGCCTGGTAATCGATAGCTCCACCTACTTTCAGAGCAAAAAGCTCTACTTAGCAGCCCAACCTCGTGAATATAAATCATAAGAATGTGAAGAAAACCCCATTATATGAGATAAGGATGGGTTATAACATAATTCCCCTCTCTTTGCATTTCTTGACTATATCCTTGGCCTCTTCAGAGTAAGCTGACTGAACTAGGGCATCAATCAATGAGTGACAAGTATAAGCATCTGGAACACATCCATTTGCTTCCATAGAGAAGAACAAGTTCTTAGCTTCATCAAATCTCCCCGATTCACACAATGCCTTAATAAAAGCACAATAAGTAAAATTGTCAGGACTCAAATCTGAAGTCAACATGGTTACAAGAACCTTCTGGGCTTTCTCAATCTTATTCATTTTACAGAAACTTTGGATAAGAGCATTGAAAGAGAATATATCGGGTCTTATTCCATCATCTTGCATCTGTTTCAAAAGTTTCATTGATTTGGCAACATCCCCCACGTTACATAACGAGCGGATCAAAATATTATATGTGACAGCATTTGGAATGATGCCCCACTCTGGCATTTCTGTGAAACAATCAAAAGCATCCTTGATCTGGTGCACGCGACAAAGGCCATCAATTATTGAACTAAAAGTGAAAATATCTGGTCTGAAACCCTGTTCTAAGAGCATCTCCAACAACTCCCGTGCCTTACCTACTTCCCCAATCTTGCAAAACCCGCTAATTAGAGTATTGAAGGTGACAAGGTTAGGAACAATATTTCTTTGTTGCATCCCTCTAAAGGTCTCCAATCCTCTGTCCATCATTTTAGCTTTGGAGAAGCAATCAATTGCCATGTTATATGAGAAGACATTTGTCACAAGTCCATCCTGAATTATCTTATTTAAATACCGAGTCCCTTCTTCATCTCGTCCGGACTTATACAGAGCCTCAGTGAGAAGAAGAAAAGTATTAAACCCCACTTTCACACCTCGATCAGTAAAACCATCGAGTATCTTACATGTTTCCTCAAGGTCCAGTCCCTTAATAAAACAAGTTATTGTAACATTAAATGTTGAACTGTCAGGAAAATAACCTCTCTCGCTAGCCTTTTTCAAAAACTCCGCCGCCTCTCTCGGCAAAGAATTATTAGAAAGACAATGCAAAATAGTATCACAAGCTACTTTAGGCAAAACCGGCTTCCCCTCCACAAATCTAGATAACAGCTGAAATGCTTTCTGTGGGGATAGACAACGAAACACACCATTAACCAATGATCTATATGTGGCTTCATTTGGACTCACATTTCGCTCCCACATTTTCTCTAATATTCTAAACGCTCCATCAACCCTTTTTGCATTACAAAACCCATCAATTAGTATCGTATAAGTAAACACATTGGGTGAATATCCCAAACCATCCATCTTTTTCAGCAAACGCATTGCCTCGTCCACTACACCAGCCTTACAAACTCCATGAATGAGGATATTATATGTAAACCTATCAGGATTGCAATTATCTGACTGCATCTGTTGAAATTTCAGATAAGCTAAATCAAGTGAATTCGATTTCACTAATGCATCTATAACTGCATTATACAACCTAGTAGTTGGACTAAGACCCAAATATGAAATTTGCCCGAAAACTTCATCACAGTATTTTGCCAGCCCTAATCTCCCCCAACTACCAATCAAAATACAAAACAAATCTTCAGTAACCGGACACCCAGAGCTTCTAATATCTCGAATCAACTCAACTGATAAGACTACCGGACCTTTCCTATAAAGGGAATTAACTAAGACACCCCTAATCGATTGATTTCTCGCGAACACAGGGTCGATATTTGAAACCCAGATATAAAATTTCAAAGGATGCAATGGGTTTTCCTGATTTTGTAGAATACTCACAATTAACTGATGATTCAAACTGATCCGCTTCACTTTAAACTCGTGATTTAGCAACAAGAACCAGTCTTTACTTGAAAGTATCTGAGAAATGTACTGATGGTCTATTGGTTTTTCATGTGATTTGTGTTTATTAACTGAAATGTGACTGTTTGTAATAGAAGGCAAGTTGGGGTTTTTGAATTGAGAGTTCAATGAAGACTTACCTCTAAAAGAAGCTTCGATGTTGTTGTTGTTGGTAGGCTTGTGGTCAACAGCCGTTAAATTTTCAAAAATTGGGGATTGTTTTCGCTGATTGTGAAATTTTTCTGATTGGTTTCGGATTGCAGGTAAAGCCCTAGAAGCCAAAGAAGAAAACCCTCTCATGTCCCTTGGAGCAACTGCTGAGGAAGTGACGACTAGCAAAACTGTGTATAACTTGGACCGGTCAATGAACCGGACTGGTTTTTCTCGCTACACAAAAGTTTAGTAATAGATATGATAAGGCAGAAGCTTATATCGAAACAGGTACGGGACTCACCATTGGCAAGACGGGTGATGCTTGAATGGAATCTCCCAGCTTCGTTCATCCGGCCGCCGGCAGAGCCTCCAGATGGTTTGAGTTAGGGCGCCGCTCTGATTTCACGCCCTAATTATCCTTGCACCGGAATGGGTCACGGCTTAGACATGAGTAGTCTACAAACCCTAGACTAGGAATGCGTTCGCTAGGTGATGGGCTGGACCCTGAGGTGTTATTCATGTTTTCATTGTTGGTCTCTTTGCTTATTGGGCCGTCTACAATTCGTGGGCTATGTCCATGCATTCTGTATTGCCTCGTATTTATATATATAAAGTTCAATTTACCTTCCGAAAAAAAAAAAAAGTTTAGTAATAGTACAAAGTTTATCTTGATTATGGCTTTATATCCTATTTGGACAAATTTTTTATTAGGGCTAATTTTATAAAACTCAAACTGCTTTCAAATTTTGATCATAAACCCCAATCTATGTTAAAAAAAATTTACGCTTTAAAAAGTGATCTACCTCAATATTCATATCCAACCAGTAAACCTGAGTGTGAAATTAAAAACTATAAATTTCTTTTTTTTTTTAAATTACAAAAATAATTTAGAGGGGTGAGTTTGAGGGGTAGTGGTGGTGAAGAAAATATTTAAAGGGTATTTTTGTAATTTAAAAAATATATTTTTATTTTTAAATTTAACATTTAATGGTAATGTTAACTTTGTCATTTCACATCCGAGTTAACTAGACACGAATATTTAGACAATTTGATCACTTTTAAAGTGCGGAAGGTTTTCTGTAACATGTTGGGAGTTTACGGTCAAAACTTGAAAGTAGTAGAAATTTTATGGAATTAGCCCTTAAATATATCCCTAATGTACAAATATTAATCTACTTTGAATATTGTTTATTTACGATTTCGAAAAGAAAAAATTAAAATAAATAAAAAATAAATAAATAAACACAAATTTTTAGGTACTCATTAGTCTTTCACTCTTTTGCTATTGTTGAAATTATAATTTTTTTTAGCATTTACCAATTTTCAGTAATATGAGGATGTAAAGTCAATTGATTAGAACAAAATTATTATGGGGATATGGTAAAGTGAGGAATTTAAGCTTTTATGGTTGTTCGCCTCAATCTTAACTTTTTAAATATTCATTGAAATAATACCTAAATCTAAATTAAATTTTGTTGTCTAATTAAAATAATAATAAATTCTTATAATAATGCAATACTGAAATAATCTTATTGCAACCTCAATTAAAGAATCAAACTGAAAATATTATTTCATAATTTCAAAATAACAATGTTACAAGTACAACTCGATTTAGTGTAAAAGTCTGCGCCTACCCAATAATAATAAAAATGTCAGAACTCAACAACTACAACCAAAGCATATCAAAAGAATTCTAATATCTCCACATGTGCCTCGATATAAAATAAATGAGGTCATTTAGTCATCGTGTTAAAGTAAGGGTTGTTATAGTGACCTAAACATTTTTTTTCTTGAAAAGAGTTAACCAAGCATGTCCTAATTCTCTCAAAACCAATTCCATAAATCCTAATTATAAACTCGAAAAAAAAAAAAAAATGTTTTATATGTATGGAAGTCTTTTTTGACTTGCTCCCATAAGAACTGGTTTTTGCGGTGCCCATCTGAATTATTTTATTCCAGAGATGTATCAAAAGTCTATTATTGTACAATGCTATCAGAAGTGAAAATCTGCTTGCTTTCACGATTTCATCCATTGCTTTCGATTATATCATTATAGTAAGTTACTATGATAAAAGCTTCATTGATATGCAGGTAACTTTGTAAATTAACCCATAAGCAAATGTTTTATACAAAATAGTAAGGTTTTGAAACTACAGAAGAACAAAAAAAGGAAACAGAAAATAAGCACCACATATATGCCTCATTTTATTTTGCCTTGTACCATCTCAAGATTATAACCTACTTTTCTTAATTGGTCCCATCTCCTTTGCCTCGGTCCTCAGCAGATGCTTTTGTAACTTCCCTGTAGCAGTTTTTGGCAGTGGCCCAAACACTAAAGATTTTGGAACCCAATATGCAGGCATCTTTGACCGGCAGAACTTCATTATATCTTCCGCCAACCGATGTTCATCAGACTTGTCAACCCCGGGCTCCAATGTCACAAAAACACAAGGCGACTCTCCTCACTTCTCATCCGGCCTTGCCACTACAGATGCCTCTAGAATTGCTGGGTGCAAGTACATAGAATTCTCGATCTCCACATTATTGATGTTTTCACCTCCAGAGATTATAACATCCTTTGACTTGTCTTTGAGTTCTATATACCCATCAGGATGCTTCACACTGAGATCACCAGAATGAAACCAGCCATTTACGAAAGCCTATTCATTTGCTTTAAGATTCTTCAAATAGCCCTTCATCACAACATTGCCCCGCATCACAATCTCCCCAATGGTAGTTCCATCAGCAGGAACAGGCTTCATGTCTTTGGTGCTGACAACATCTAGCCCCTCCAAGGCGATGTACCGAACACATTGGCGTGCATTAAGACGAGCTTAAGTTTTAGGAGGCAGCGTATCCCATTCAGGCTTCCAGGAACATACAGTGGAAGGGCCGTTCGTTTCCGAAAGGCCACAAGTGTGGGTAACACGGAAGCCAAGTTTGCTCATTCCAAAGAGAACAGAAGGGGGTGGCGCAGCACCAGCTGTCATTACGCGGACAACATGGGGGAGGGGTAGTATGGTCTCATGTTGTGGAGCATTTACTACGCTGTTGAGTACAACAGGTGCAATGCTAAAATGTGTCACACCATGCTTTGCTATGGATGAATAAACTGCCTCCGCTGTTACCTGTGTAAATGTAGAGCTAAATGTGCTTAGTGATAATGCTAAAACAGGCAAATTTTATTGAACTAATTGATAACTTGAAAAAAAAAAAAAAAAAAAAAAAAAAAAAAAAAAAAAAAAGAAAGCCCTCAAATTGAACCACAATCAAAGAAACTTAAAAAAAAAAAAAAATTAAGTTCCAGATCCAAATTTTAAAATGGTGGAAGAACCCAATCAAGTAGAGAACTGACACTGCAATATAGAACAAAATCTCGCAATAAGAAGTACTGCTAAATAATGTTCTACTTCAGTTAAATCTAAGAATCAATGTTAATTTCACTTCTCCTACCTACAAGTTAGCTGTTATACCAAAGACCAGCTCTTTTTAGGTTGAAAAACTGCCTATCACAAGCCACAATTTGAGCTTTATATATCCGCATGAACTAGGTAGTGGATTGTCTAATACTTGATTCCATGCAATTTAAGGATTCAATTTGCATACCCGTGAATTATATGAGTAGGAGACAAGTAATATATAATTGGATGAAGATAAAGAGAAGACAAGTAAAGTTAACACAAGAGACGTGTAAGGGGAAGCACATGAATTTACCATTTAATCAAGTGAAAAGTCCGAATAGTTACCTATCGAAGGCATATATTTGTCCCACAAAGAGCAGCAAGTGTCCAAATGAAACACCAATCATTGCAATGAAACGTAGGTAATGTCCACAGGTATACAGCTCCCTCGTTCATCCCCCATAATATAACATTACTCAAAGACATGAGATATGCCCCTCGATGGTGCAACACCACACCCTTTAGACTAGCTGTTGTTCCAGAAGTGTATCCCAAAACAATGCTCTGTCACTCATCCTGTGGCGGTTTCCAAGGAAATTCAGGGTCACCCATTTACAGGAACTTCTCGTATTCTATTGTTCCTTTTCCTAAAGCATATTTCAGTGTCTCTGGATCACAGCTTTCATCAGCTATGACAATTAGAAGTGGAGGCTTGAAATCACTTTTGCTTTTGTCTCCTCTGCCAAGGGAAAGAATTCTTGGTCCACCATTACAACTGCAGATAATGAATGCCCTAGAAGAAAAGCAATTGTTAATACATTCAAACGAATATTGACAGGATTTATGACAGCTCCAGCCATTGGAACTCCAAAATGAGCTTCATACATAGCTGTGATATTTGGTGCAATTACGGCCACCTACCAATGTTGGGAAAATAATAATAAGCTGCCAAGTTTCAACAAGTTCTAAAACAAATTGCACAAGTGAACAAGTACCTCACATAAATATATATTATACATGGCAAAACCATTATTCATTATTTTGCAGTTTGTAGTTTAATCTTTTAGCCACCACATAGTTTCTTTCTTGTACTTTACTCTACAAAATATATCTTGTTATATTCAATATTAGAGAAACTTAAACATACATTTTTCATTGGTAAGAAAATTTGGTCTTGGTGACAAGGAAAAATCCTTCTTAAACAACAAAAAAATGCACTGAGATGCACAACAGATATTCAAGATTATGATATTTTTAGCTTCCACAATCACCAGAGGAGTTGGCAGTGAGACATGTTTGGCTCTGATGGATTTCAGATCAGACCAAGACTGCCTAAGTTACATTCAAAGCAAACTTTGATATCGTTACCTAGACAAACGAGTATTCCGCCAATAAAATACAACACATGTTATGCAAAAATCGAAACTATCATTATGCCTGCACCAATGCCAATTGCTTTACAAAATAAGAGCCAGAAGATAATAGTGAAGATTAGAGATCTAATAAACTTAACTCCACCATAGCCTTTCCTGATCAGTGCGCAATTCAAGATAAGATCTATGATGATTTTAATTTGAATTTCATACATTTACTGATTAGGTTGTTGAGCTTCCAGTTGAAATAGAGACTTTTTTTTATTGATAATCATGGTTGATTAAAATATAAGCAGCCTAACTCAACTGATATTTCACAGATTCAATCAAGCTCACAAAAATGTAGTGTTGACTCAATACAATTAAAATGCTGAACTCAGGGAACAAAATGATATCTCGTTTGGGATTCTCAAATATATATCTGTTATGTCTTGGAGCACTGAATGGACAGTTTGAATTTGGAATTTAAAGAAATTTGGTTCAAAGTTTTAAAAACAATTTCTCCAATTCCAAATCCAAGTCGACCATTCGGTGCTCTCAAAGGCAACAATACCTTAATTTGCTAGAATATGTATTAATTTCCCTTAAATTAAAACATTTCAAAGTCAACGATTAAATTCTTAGCTTCTCTCAAACATCATATT